CGGAGCGGAACTTACGCGCGGCGGCTCGAGATGAAAGAACTTACACGTGTGTCCGGCAAACCGCCGTCACATAGGCGCCACGACGCCTAAACTGGTATGACTTCTGCGTGTGATCATTCAATGTGGCGGGACTTGTGCGTGTTCACACCTCTTCGGTCGCATGAAAACAGTCAAGATATTTATTTAACACTATTACGCCCATACGTTTCTTCAGTAAGTTCGTTTCCTACAGTAAGTTCGTTTCTCAGCGTAAGTTCGTTTCTCAGCGTAAGTTCGTTTCCTACAGTAAGTTCGTTTCTCAGCGTAAGTTCGTTTCTCAGCGTAAGTTCGTTTCCTACAGTAAGTTCGTTTCTCAGCGTAAGTTCATTTCTCAGCGTAAGTTCGTTTCGTCAGTAAGTTCGTTTCTCGGCGTAAGTTCGTTTCTCACCGTAAGTTCGTTTCTCACCGTAAGTTCGTTTCTCACCGTAAGTTCGTTTCGTGCAGTAGGTTCGTTTCTTGCGTTAGTTTCGTTTCTCACTGTGAGTTCGTTTCTCACTGTGAGTTTGTTTCTCACTGTAAGTTCGTTTCTCACTGTAAGTTCGTTTCTAGGCTTAAGTTCGTTTCTTGCGGGGTCCGAGCACAGTAAGTTCGTTTGCTAGTTAAGTTCGTTTGTGCATGCGCTAAGTGTGTGCCTCGGAGAGCCCTTTTTTTGGGGGTCTCTCAAATGAAGATGCTCACAAGGGTATGGGGGCCCCGTTAGGCGCTCCGTCGAAAAAAGCGATGCTACTACGTAGCATCGGGACGCAGGTAGCTAGTTGTGTCCAGAATGGTGCGCCAGCTCTCCGTGTATACATCTTGCACAGCCCTCATCTTGCGATCGGGGGCATCGTTCAATTCAGGTTTTGAAGGTAGATCGGAATATAGATGAAGGAACTTTGCTCCTTCTTGACCTCCACGATACGCTCTTCGAGCTCGATGAACCACGCAGTCTTCGTCTTGTCTTTGACCTCATTCGAAGTACCGTGAGCAAAATTAGCCCATTGGATCCGACCCAAGCCGAGAGAGACAGTGCACTAGTCGTGGTAGAGGATACATCCACCATTGAATGGGCAGGGTACTCGACGAGCGAAATCAGCAGGTTCTGCCGTGCCCTCCCCGTGTTATGTGCAAGGGTGCGTCGCATTTTTTTTTCAATCGCTGCGGCTTTCTCGTTTCAGTCTCTCAATCTATGTTCCTGCATTTCCCAATTCATGGCACATCTGCCCTACTAAGGTATCTCTGTATCCTGGCCCGTCTTATATGCTGTCTGCCAGCATATCGTCACAGAGCCATCTAATTTCCCGGGATAAGGCCCTGCAGTACCGTCTAACCGACACCGGTGCGACATTCTTCAAGCGGGGCACCGGAGGAGCTGTCTTATAACCTGTATCCAAACTTGATCCCAATGTCCTTTATGCTCGGCTGGCTCTATCGAATGGCCTATACACATATCTAATGGTCTGTTGTGATGCTGTGCTCAGACTGGCGGCTTCGTCGATCTCTTGCTGCTGCTCGGTCCATTTGTTACAATTACCTGGCTCGTATTTCCTTCCATATCTCTACTGCGCAACAAGGGATTGCCCTCAGCGCGACTCTCTTCCTGAACAGTACACGGGTCACCAGTGGATCTAACGCTCGAGGATTACGGATTCTGACTGGGATATTGTGGCGCAGCCAGTGTGTTGGTTGGGTGAACCGGGAGCCTGGCGTAACAGCTTGCCACCATGAGCGACATTTTGAGCTGGCTTTCACCACGTCCATATCGTGGACGCCCCCTCACTATCTGACCAAAACCTCTGCCTTACTGACGATCTATAATATTGAGCTGGTTCTCAACGTATAGTTTAGCTCTCAGAGACCTTCGACGTTACACCTATCTTAATCTCATGTTCACTCACGTACCTGTCCACGCAGACTACTATGCCACACGTCGCCAAACCGCCCTTCCGCGCATCTGAAACCGCACGCCAATAGTGCTACATCACACTCCACTTTCCCAACATGCTCGACATCCACGCCCCCGAATCTAAATCCATCATCAGCCACATCACCCAACCCGCCGATTCCGGCACACTCACTCTTCAACACCGACAAACTCTCTCCGAGGTCACATATATCCGCTCTCAACTCCAACGTACCGAGGACGCCAACGCTCTTCGTCTGGAGCTCATCGAAGGCCAACATCAACGCTCCATCGAGGAACTCGAGCGAAATCGTTGTCTGGAGATCACATTGTTTAAACAAAGCCGTCACACGCAAACCGTGCAGTGTAACGTACCCGGCGACTCGAAACATACGATAGACGAGTTGGTTCGGAAGCATCGTGCTGAAGTAGAGAACCTGAAGCGAGAGTTTGAGAAACGTCTCGTTGAGCGAAACACGAATTTCGGGAAGGAGATTGGGCGTCAGCATCGTGCTGAGATTGTGATGATGCAGCGGCAGTGTGAGGTGCGGGTTAATGAAAGTGTCCAACGTGCGGTAAAGATGGCAGCGAAGAAAGAAGCAGAGCTTTTGAAGAGTGCGGAGGAGAGCCGGATGAAAGAGGTGGTCGAGTTGGAGGGAAAGCTGAGGATGCGCGAGTTGGATTTCGACGTCGTTTGTAAGGAGGAGCAGGAAGTGAAGGAGAGGTTAAGGAAGAGGAATTTCAGTGATAATTTGGCCTGTCAGGAGAGAGAAGAGCTGGTGAAGAAGATGGAGACGACGATTGAGGAGGCGAAGGTCAAGTAAGAGCGATGGGAGAAGACTCTCAGGATGAAAGACCTGGATCTGGTCCAGGATCTTATCGTTCTGGAAAGAGATGGTCTGGGGAAAATGTTGGCGGCGGCGAGGATGCGTGAAAAGGAGATGGTGAAAATGAGGTATGATCCAGGTCGTTATGTGTTGTTGTATATGCACTAACATATGCTGGGTACCTTAGGAGATGCATAGCGACTATCAAGGGAGAGAACCGGACTCTGTGGAAGGAAGTCAAAGTTTTGGAACTTCTGGTACGACCCTTCTTCGCATATGCGGAGACGCTGTCTCATGCATGATTTTTTCGATGCGACAGAGGGGTATCTCGCAACGTGATATCAAACTTGCTACCAACGCGGTCGATAACCGTGCTAACTCCAGGCCGATGCTTATGACTCTTCTATGACTGGTATGATATTTGACGCCCCACTCCCCGCCCAATTTTCCATCACCTTGCTCATCTTTGCTCATCTGTCTACTCGTAGATGCCTTGGACTACTCTACCTCTGAATCATCGTTCATCTCTTTTCCCTGTGCTAGTGGTGAAGTCGTGCGTATATTATTTGCTCCGACGTTGTACAGACTAACGGAGTCTACGTATAGACTCCCGACACCTCGATGTCTACGCACAAACGTGCACGTTCCGACAGCGAAGACTCCATGATGTGGTGTCGGTCATCGTCGCTTCTGAAGCACATCAAGTTGGATGAGGATCACAACTCACCCCTGCGTATTGATCCTTCCGAACCCAGGCCCACTCCTCCAGAGACACCTGCTCCAATGACAGCGTCTCCTACCTCTTCCCCTCGTAAATCTGGAGTTCTTGAGTATCTGGACAGCATGAGCACGAACTTAGTCTTGGACGGTGTGTAGCATACTTCTATACTATTGCAACGTCAAACTCTTGCGCATCTGACGTTCTGTAGCATACGATCGTGCCACTTCTAAACTAATTATTCTTCACGCCGTCACTCTTCATTTCTAAGGCGGCTGTGGTTTGATCGCGAACCCGGCTATTTATCAGGAAATGCGGAAGGCAGTCGAAGCGTACGTGAAATGCAATACCATCCCTCCTTCGATCATTTACTCCTGCAACCTTCCTAACTAGGTTTACATGCGATTCATAGTGATCAGTACAAGTTCGTGATCAGCTTTTCAAAGACCACCGACGAACTCTCGCCCCGATCCTCTAGCTCCTCCGCTATCGACTGCCCCACCTTTCCTCTCTCCCCATACGGCTCGGACGCCCTTTTACACCACATACTTGATTTCTGCGATACTCTCGCTGCGACGCAGGACGCAATGCCGTCGTCTACATCGGCTGGTCAGCAGCTCGTTGGCTCAATCGTCAGTTTCGGATGGCTTCGAAGATATGTTTCCGATCATGATCTATCGGGACCACCATACGGGCACTGTTGTCTCTCGGTTTTTCACGTTCTCGAAGACCGACAGTCTTACGGTCACCGATCAATCTACACTTATCCAGCATGGACCTACGGAGTCGAGATGCCCAGAGTCCGAAACAGGAGAGCAGATAGGCGATAACGACTCGAGGAGTGACATGGACCTGGTGTCTAATAGTGGTATGGGTTCACAGAAAGTTGTCGAAGTCGGAGGGTCCTCTCGACGCAAGTGCTCCGGTAGCGCCATCATACCACTGAACGATTCAAACAGTAGTGGGAGCGCACGAAGACGGATGGCGCACTCGCTCCAAACCAGACAAAAGCACAAGTAAATACACCTACAGCGTTATCCGATACGCGCGCGAGGGACCTTTGTATGGTATTTCCTGTCTGAGACGTGCTTACGGCGAGCAGTACGGCGCAGCCCAATAGCCCTATACACGCCCAACCCGCGACTACGCCACGCGTGAAACCTAGTACGGCAGGCTCGAATCTTGAGATCAAGAGGTCAGTAAGGCTATGAGGACGACAGTGAACAGTACGAGGAGCTATGTACTGTCTCTGATTATTGTCTTCGATGGTTGGTTTCCGTAAGGTAGGTGCTCAATATTGTAGGGGATGCACCGTCCTCTCAGGCTGATTTTCTGTGGGTCCAAGACGTCAGCGTAGACATCTAGATGCTCCCGTGTGTTCTCTTCTTCCCTCCGTCCCTTCCTTATTTAGTGCCAACTTCTTTGCGCTCATTTCCCCCTGTTTGCTGTACCCCCTTTACGAACCAGACACTTTCTTGCTCTGGGGCAAGCAATATGGTATGCCCCACACGATAACAATAACCATTTTTTTGTCGATTATCTGCGTTTGCTTGTGCGAAGTCCTCACTCACACTGAGGTCGACAGAAAAGGCCTGCTATACCATCCCGTTTTCTCTCTTATTTCAACAATACGCTAAGCGCCACGACTCTAGCTTTTTCCCATCTCCACATTATTGTCCGCTCTTCGCATCCCTCCGCCTCCTTCGCTTGCTCTTTCGCGTTCACCTTGATCGTCATCTAACAACAGTACAACACGTGTTGCAATTCTTTTGCAAGCTCGATTCGTGCTAATGCTAGCTATCTGTAATATGTCCAAATTGAGATCAAACAATTACTCTGCGTAGGCACAGCGTAGCCTGGACTCATCATAGGGCGGATTTTGAAGGACTATGGAGACCCTTATGCTGGAGTGGCTAACCATCCATCGAAGAGCCGGTATACGCTACGTGATCTCTGCTAACTGCAAAGGTGGAATTCATTGGTGGTGATCCTTCAACATCCCCAACGCATTCTAATACATGGCTGCAAGTGAAAAGCCAAAACTATAGCACCCCAGAGCTGTTTATCGAAGTTGAGGGGTCCTCAAAAATAAGCGCTTTCGACTACGCCCAAAGTCGTTGTCATTGGTGGAAAAAATATGTGTTAGATGGTTACTGACTGGAATATTTTAATGTGTCTGCATAACGAATCAATCGAATGTTATGCCTGCGGACTAATGACACAAATAATGCATAGTGATTATCACTGTCAGCACTCTCCCACACGATAGCTAATAGAACGTCATCGTCGTCTTGCAAGATACGGGAGATTCATTCGGTGGGGTGTTTTGCTCAGCATGCGTCGAGCTCTTCCCAGGGTGAGATTACAGCACTAGAAGGAAAACACCGCTATGGATCTCCGAAACTCCGTAATTGATCCATTGGCCTGTTGGAGCGCATCGAAAGCGGGGGAGCAAACACAATTAGAATGGAATTTCCGGGCCCTTTACCTATTGTTTTGTAAAGCTCAAAACTTTGAGCTCACGGAGTAAACGGCGAAGGTTTGTTGAAATACCGAAGTTACCCAGGCGTACGTACTGGGAACCTCGAATCCGCTTCCCTGGGCGGCTGTTCGTGGGAGGTTCTGATGTGGACATGCGTTCAAAGACGTCCGAGGTTCGTCGGCGTGAGCACGGAGATCCAAATAGAACCGGAGGCAGGTCTCCAATCTGAGAGTTCGATGGGTGTGATCGATATTCTCCCATGCTTGCGGAGGCTTGCGCCCATTGGATAGCATTCGTGATGCGGGATGTGTATTCTGATGTTCTCGTCCGACTTCAGTCAGCCAATTTCTCTATAAATGTGCATCATTGGGAAGTCATGGCTTTGGTCCGAGGAATGAGTGCGCGTCTAAGTACGTGCCGTCGCCGCGCCGTAGGAAGCAGTGGCAAGTATAAGCGCTCAGCTGGTCTAGTAATAGCAGGATGCGCCTTTGGTTTCCCTGCACCAGCCGCCCGCTGTCCCTTCCTTCTTACCACTTACCTCGACGACACATGGAGCGCATAGCAGCAACTGCTGCTGCATCCTTCATTGCTTTTCATGTACTGCGCTCTGTCTACCGACGACTGAATGGTTATGGCATATCTGATATCCCTGGTCCTCCCTCCCCGTCGTTTATTTATGGTACGCATATCTTCATCAGGGTCATTGTCAACGCATACGAGTCATTAAGAGTGTAACAATCTTTGTAAAGGCAACCTCCTTCAAATCTTTCAAGAACAGGCAGGAACCTTTGACTTCAAGTGGCAGGAACAGTTCGGCGGCGTATTTCGCATTAGGGGACCGTTTGGGGTGCGTTTTCAGTTCTTCGAACCTGTCTGTCGCACGTTTCCTCCAGCTAAGCCTTATATGTATGCATGTAGGATGACCGTTTGATGGTATCAGATCCAAAAACATTACATTACATGTTTCATACATCTGGATATGATATAATCAAGCAGCCTGAGCGAAAGGAACTCTCGCGCCTGCTCACTGGGAAGGGTCTCATATGGGCGGAAGGTATTTCACTATCAGTTATCGTTCTCTTCATTCTATTACCTGACGGTATGGTCACAGGTGATGTGCACAGGAGGCAGAGAAAGGTTATGAATCCTGCCTTCGGTCCTGCTGAAGCGAGAGCCTTTTTTCCTATCTTTCTTGAACACGCGAACCAGGTCGGAGTGCGCTTCATTTCCCGATGTTGCTCATACGCTGATGCAGACGTAGTTGGTAGCAAAGTGGCAGGATATTATGTCCGAGTCTCCCGAACGTATCTCCGTCTTCAATATTCCAAACTGGCTTGGGCGTGCTACGATGGACGCCATAGGGGCAGGTGGGTATTTCTATAGTTATCCCTAGTCTGGTCACTTCCACTTATACTGGGGTTAACATCGCCTATCAGCCGCATTTAGCTACAAATTTGGGATGCTCACGGATGGCGGTAATGAGCTGGCGCAGGCCTATAACAACATCCTTCAAGAGACTCACGGCAGGGCATCATCAGGTCGTATTCTCTTCCAGAACGCTTCTCACCTCATCCCCCTTCGTGTCATCGAGTGGATCACCGATCATGGAAGAGCGAAGCCCATCGCCAGGGCGCGTGAGGTCACTGCTATGGCTAATCGAGTAGCGGAAGACCTACTATCTCTAAAGTCGGAGGCTTTACTTCAAGGGAAGAAGGGAAAAGATATCATGAGCTTAGTTGGTGAGCATATATGCGCGAGGACGATGTCAATACCCTCACGACCATCTTTGTTGATAGTACAGGCAAATCTCTCCGAGGACGAGAAATCACGAATTGACACAGACGAGATGTACTCACAACTGAGGTTCGTTCGATCTCACCAATTATTCTGATATAGTATGGTGCGGTGTTTCTGAGCAGGAATGTAGGACCGTGATGCTTGCGGGGTATGAGACGACATCGAATAGCTTAAGCTGGACGCTTTACGAGCTGGCAAAGCGACCTGATATACAGAACCAACTCCGCGCCGAAATTGTGCAAACTCAAGCTAGAGTCAGAGCCCGAGGGGATGAGTTGATGTCGTTGAGTGACTTCGACAACATGCCACTCACCACTGCCGTGATCAAGGTATGTTTTTGCTATTATGCCGTCTCACTCGGCCGCTCATACCACATCATAGGAGTCTCTCCGTATGCATCCTGTTGCCCACCAAATGTATCGCCAGACTTCCAAGGACGACGTGTTCCCTCTGAGTAAACCTATCATTTCGAAGTCTGGTAAGGTTCTCCATGAAGTTTTCGTGCCGAAGGGCACGCGGCTTGTTGCTGCGGTTGCGGCTTACAATCGGTACGCTCTGAGCGATGCTGTGAATAACCGTATTTATATTAATATTAAATCGTTTTTTACAGGAGTAAGGAGGTATGGGGAGTGGATGCGAGCGAGTTCAGACCTGAGAGATGGCTGCAGTCTGTAGACGGTGGACGCGCGCAAGGCGCGGCATCGGTTGGTACCTATGGTAACCTGTTCGTATTAATCTTTCACTATCACCCTTACCTCTCACCAAGTTGATATTTTTCAATGATTTTAGCATGACCTTCGGTGGTGGCGTCAGGGCTTGCATCGGATGGAGGTTTGCGTACGTCGTCGGATATCCATGGCTTTGCCGGATTGCTGACCTATGCTCTGAAACAGTGTTGCAGAGATGCAAGCGTTTGCAGTTGAGCTGCTCAGGAACTTCGAGTTCTCTCTCACGGAAGAGTCAAGACACATTAGGAGAGATGTGGCGCTAGTCATGATTCCAACCGTTGAAGGTCAGGTTGGCAAGGGTATGCAGTTACCCTTAAGGGTTTCCCTGGCGCCGGAGGAGTGAGCGTATCGTCGCTTGGTCCTGAATGATGACGGCACTCTACTGTATTCCTGATTCTGATTCTGATCCTGATTCTGAACATATGTTGTTATATTTTGGAGGTAGCACGTTTGTTTCGAATTCAGCTCTATGTACATATTTAAGGGGGAACATGGACTTCTTTCTTTCTTTTTTTCGTTAGCTCAAATACTATTGTCATGCATCGCTCCCCGAGAATAATGAAAGTTGTGAGACTTTTCTTGAGAGCTGCAAAGATCTTACTTATCGGCACTCAAAAACGAAGTTCAAGAGTCATCCGGCCTAAGAAAAGCGCTTCATGATTCATTCATTCACAAGCCAACTCGTCGAGGAGTTCACGCACGTAAAAATAAAAGGAGATTTATCATGCGGTGTGGAGACATGAACACTACACAGAAGGTCACAAGGTCGATTCGATCAACGTTCCTGTTATTGCCTGTACGACGGCAACAAGATAATACTCCGCGGGAAAAGCGTAACATCAAAACACGTATACACCATGTTGCTCTCACGTCCTAGTTTCAAAAACCGATGTCCTCACAGCTGTTCTCGAGGACGATACGAGAGTCGGAGTCCCTAGAGACGAAGGTTACGGGAAAAGGGAGGGGACGCCTACAGGAGTCATCGTATCGTCAACAATGCTGTGGAGAAGAAGGGCGAAGACCACAACTCACACGACAAGACCCTCGTTGAGACTATCATTCCCTGGGATGATGGGATTTCCAGCCTCGTCTTTGACAGGAACGATGTCGAACGTCCAGAGTATACTGGCCATGGCAAGAAATAGAGAATCTATTGCGAGGTGTCTTCCGAGACAGATCCTACGCGTTTATCAAACAAGTACGGATGTCTGCCTTAGAGTAACACTAAACGATGAAGTGTTAGAAATACTCACCGTCTCCCGAATCCGAACGTTGTATGGCCATCGTCGTGCGTATCAGGTGGCGACGCTGCTAAGTTTCCACTTTGATCGAGGTGTCTTTCTGGTCTGAATTTATGGGCATCTGTACCCCAAACATCCTCGTCTCTATTCATAGCCCTGAAAGCATACCTATACGGTCAACGTTGATCTTCGCCCATCGATATGATGTGCCTACCAAACGTTTGGGATACAGATAGTTCCTTTGGGGATGAGATATCCGTGGTAGAAGTCGTCTTCGGTCAGACGATGTTGCATACCAAGGGGAGCGACTGGGTCTTTTCGCATGACCTCTCGAATAATGGCGCGAATATACTGAAGGTGGTCGTAATCGCTGAAGGATGGTAGCCTGTTCCTTCCGACGTTCTTATCGATCTCTTCTTGAGCTTTCTTCTGGATACCAGGATGTTGTATCATGGCGAGAAAAAACCAGGCCAGGACTCCAGACATCTGGAACGTGCAGAATGGCGTAAGTCAAGTGTGTATGACGGGAATCTGAGGTCGTACCGTCTCAGAGCCTGCTGCACTGAGATACATAGTAAGTCAAAAGGTGTCGAGAGCAGATATAAAGGACGGCACTCACAGCGCTGCGAGCATCCAGGAAGCCTCTTTGTCGGAGAGGCTGTGTTGTATTTGCTTCGCTGCGACGTAAGCAGCTACGCACTGATGCTCTTCCACCTATACAACCCGCACACGCTCCGTTGCATAAGAGACCGACATAAATCAGGAGGATACAACTCCTACCTGAGACTCCTTGACATGCTTGAACCAACCACTAAATAGCTCTGAGTAAATAACTGATGCTTTCAGAGCCTTTTGTTTCCATGGTGCTATTATTTGTGGACAATATCGAAACCATGGAAAGAGCTCAACAAGACCGCCGTCGATATACGCAGCGTGAACGACGTCTTTGGTGAACTCGAGAGTCTCGTAGAGAGGGCTGTCAGTCGCGTTCTTCAGTGGTGGTGTAGCATACGCTACTGAGTAGACGGTTGACCCAACGGCTCTAATGATGCTCGTATAAGTCGGTACACAATCTTCAGTGGACATTAATATACCTTCGGACATGATTCTCCCAGTCTCCTGGATTTGTGAGCAGATCTGCGAGTAATCTGATTGTCTCGCCGTGTTGAATATGATGGAATTTATTCACTACGCCTTTATGAAGACGTTCGTGACCAACCCGTCTCATTTTTCGCCAACTAGATGATTGGTCCTGTTCCAGTGTTGATGACGCGCTTGAGGTGAAGACGACTCACATAGTGCCGTAGGGTAAAAACGTGAAGAACAGTCCTTCAGACAGTATTTCGCGGGCTACCGTGAAGCGCGGACGATCGGAGTAAATGGAGGCGCGCCTGTCGAGAAGGTCGGCGGCTACCGTATTGTTTCCAAGAACAACGACATCTTGACCCGCAAGATTAAGATGAAAAATTGGGCCTAATTTCACGCATATGAGCGCTGTCGGTGTATATAAATCTCACTATGAACATACCGTAGACGTTTTTCCATTCGGAGAATTGAATCCAAGCGTCTCCGGACAATTGAAGCAGATTCCCAATAAAAAAAGCGCCTGGAGGACCGGGAGGTAGCTGTCCCCGCCGAGTCTGACGCTTTCTCCGATTGAACATAACGATAGAGGTGATAACTGCGAGCAGTACAATCAAAGACATTGGGGGATAGATATACATCGTTCAAGGGATAGAGATGTAAGATGCTGATGCAACAGCTTTATAGGGGATCAGCGTGGGATATATGTCGATATCGATGCTCTCATGATAAACGGTTCATACTCGCTTACTTTTCTTCTTGCTTCAAAATCCTGAAAATACCTAGCTCATAGTACACGGTGGCACATACATATCTCATCATTTTGTAGATATCATCAATATTGCTACACACTCTCCTTCGCTAACCATGCGAAAAGTACCCCCCTCTTCTGGCGGAGAAGTCTCGTCAACCTCCACATCCTGCCGACACGGTAGTTTCTGAGCCATAATAGGTATTGGATAGGACATCTACAATCACTGTCACATTATTACAGTCAGTATGTAGATGAACGATAAGCAAAATCGGTTCGAATTATTTCCGTTAGTCGAAGCTAGATCCATATACGTGTGACATACTTATACGCTCGGATGGCGCGGTTGATGGGCAGCTACGATTTGTTGGTTGACATGAAAGACGATAACTCAATCTGGGAAGACGGCACCCGAGATATACTATACATGTGTGCTTGCATGAGGTTTTCTCTTTACCTGAGTTTGAAATCGCGAGACAAACACCTAGAGCCTTCGTACTATAATGAAAATTTGAGGAAAGGATAGCGACGAAATCATGCTCCCGAGAAACACCCCGACTTTCGGAAACAAGTAGACCACACTCTGGGAATCTCTAATTCCCTGCGGAGAATCTTCAAAAACACGCATACGACCAGACACTGTGTGCTCTTATCGATCGGTGCTACGCAGTCCGCTTTAGTGCTACGTTCATCATCTGACCGAGTTGCCGAAGACGAAACGGTTCCAAAATCTCACCGTGTTCTCCCTTTCGAGAGTTATTGGCTCTCACGAATGCCTGCTATCGCATGTAACACTGCCTTCAGCAGAAAATCAGATGAAACGGACTGATGGAAGATATCTGAAATGGGGCACCGAGCGTGGCGCTACATCACGGCGCGGCAGCCCGCTTTCTTTTCTAGCCATAAACTCGTAAACGCACAGGAACAGAGCCGCTTCCATGGTGTCTAGGATCAAGTCTGGAATCAGAAACGAGCACGCCTGTGGGAGCTCAGTCCTCCCTGTCGGAGGTCTCGGACTGTCGGATCTCTGCGTTGACTGATGTTACGTCTCTGATGCTTTAGTTGTTTTCTGAGCGATGTGTTGGACCTTTTGACTGGATTCACATCAGGCTCTCAGTTTTTGATTGGGACCTTTGGATATAAAGGATGGCTAGCTTCTGAAGAACCATAACTTCGCCTATTATTCGACGTAGTACCGTAACATGGCTAGCTCAGGACCTCCCCTCGATCAGATATTCCTGGTTGGAATCTGGTTGGAAACAGCAATATACGGTACAATTACAATCCCTATACTCATACCCTTCCCAGATGCTTACCTCACTACTATTTACCTCAAGGCGTGAAGTCTGTTCGATTCATTTCGAAATTCTCTTACGGATTTACTCATGGGCTCCTTCGGACACAATTCAGCGCAATGGTCTTTGCATCGTCTATATACGTTCTTTTGAAAATGAATCGAGCGGGAAGAAGTTCTGCTAAGTATGGAATTCCTCAAATATTTCGCACTTTGCTGATTTTTTCTTGAATAGATTTTTAATTCTAACGGCTATCTTCCTCTTTTTTCTTTCTACCGCGTACATATCCATTACGTTAAGGCAGCTTCTCGAGGCTTTCATTTGGGGACCTCCTGGGCAGGCCAGCCTTTATTTTGCTAACGAGCCGGATCCATTGGCTATCACCAAGCTCAGCTTATACGAGGTCAACGTAGGGGTCAAACCTTATCGATCTCATCCAATACATACTGACGTTCTGCTCCTTATCTAAGGTCTTTTCCCAAGATATAGTCCTCGTGCGTCTGAGAACGTTCATCTTGACGTGCAAATACTAAATGTCATGATTTATATTATTATAGATATGGAGATTGTGGGTTGTCTGGAGTAATCGCTGGCAGGTTGTCGTTGCTCCGGTATGTAGTGTCTGCTGCATAGCACCGATATACTCGATGAATTTTAACCAAGTATCTTGTTTCCATCATTCATTTACAGCTTGTGCTTGAAGCCATACATGTTGGCGAGTTGCATGCTACTTCTTATACTCGCACTTTGATTAATATTGTTGATTAAAGCTGCCGGCATAGTCTCGATCCAAAGAGGATCACATCCAAATATCCCCATATTTGATGTCACCATACACAGATGGGCTATCGTGTATTGGACGGCAGACCTCGCCTTAAACATTGGAGTTACGCTTGCTATCGCGTATAAGCTCTGGGTACAGGGGAAAGCAGTGAGCGGCATTCGGGTTTCCGACGGAGCGAAGAATCCGTATATTGGTGCCATCTTAACCATCGTGGAATCAGGTGCTATATTCGCAACTGCGACGCTGATCACTGTAACTATCTACCTTGCCGGAAGCCCATCAGTCGTTGCAGCGATCGACACAGTTGTCCAGCTAGCGGTATGTCCATTGACCTTGAACAATTACAACTATATTAATGTGTGCTGCGGCACTTATGATAGACAATCACACCCCTTCTCATCGTTGTCAGAGTCGGTCTGAACTTGAACCATGGCGTCTCTGCCAACTCTACGACCTATAGTTCGCAAGGAAATCAAAGTACCTTGGGGTCTTCCGCTTCCGCTCCACAGAATCGCTTCCGGCGTAACCCAGCTGTACGGGTCAACATTTCCGAAACTCAAGACACGTTTGGCGAAGGGTATTACGATATGGATGTTAGAAAGGATCAGACGGCATCTGGGATCTCTAGGGTATGAGACAGAGAGATATTCCAAGTTTGTATTCCTACTCTTCGTATGCGGTTAGTCAGGTCATATTCATTGTTTTAGTGGGCATTCATGTTAGGATATACTGAGATTTTATTTATGCGAAGCTATCCGAGCACGTTGCACATCAATCACACACAAGGCTGCCTTGGCTTCGTCTTGCTTGATTTATGTAACTCCGCTATTGTTGGTCACACGGCTTCATATATATATTTATATTGCACAAACTGAGCCACTACTGCATTCATCACACAATGTCAGTGCCTTGAAATTCTGGAATGGTTCCTACCGAATGATGATAGATGGGATCAGTTCACTATATAAGCTTCTCCTCGTACACTCGCAGAGGATGAACACCCCAGAGCAAAGCCAGCCACGATGCACTTCGTCATGTCGATTCTCAGCACTCTTCTTGCTTTATCAACTGGCCAATCTCTGCTCAAGGCTGCTCCGACGCATAGCACTCAAATCACTGCTATTGTTGGTGTAGACAACCGATCAACTCTGGAATGTTGGACTCTAGTTCCAGGCCCCGACATCACGCCGAACGTATGCAGAGACTGTTGCTGTACATGGGTGGAATTCTTATTCCTTCTGTGGATCTCTAGGTCTCAGTACAACAGCTGGGAAGCACCTCTAACGGCACGTATTTCGTGTTTGCTGCTGGATCTCCCATAGACTCCGGGTGAGTGGACGCACCAAACTGGTGCCTATACTTTACGTTATTAAGGATTCCTTCACCAGAACACACAACGCACCCAACGTTCAGTGAGTGACTGGCATATACTTCTTCATACAATCGCGCTCCTGTTCTAGTTACCCCTACTTATTTAATCCTCACCTCAGATACTTCATTATCCTCGAGGGTTCAGCGACGATCACCTTCCCTGATTCGTCGGAGACGCTATTCGTAGAAGCGAACAAGGTTTACATTGCTGCAGACTCTGCTGATGTTTCTATCCTCGGACATCACACTGTCGTGGCAGGCGGCTCCAGAATCCTTCAGCTTCCATTTCCGGGAAACGAGGTACCCAAACATAACGCAACACGAGGGAAGTGTGAGGTGTAAGCGGGGCGCTTCAATGTATCAAATATCAAGAAGTCTGGTATTGTTATCGGATTAATCTGTTTGGGCAGGATTGATCGGGAATACATCGCATGGAAGCTGAAGCGCATGTAAAACAAAGCGCTATTTATGTTGGAATGCGATCATGTCGGGTAATGTAACTCTGAGAAACGATCAGGCTACAGTCCCGCATGAAGTCAACCTGCCGTATCATTCAGTGCGCCATATACCATGAAAAAGGTAGCGTTAGCACAGCCAGATGGTGCAAGGCAATGCATCAACTGGTATAAGTAGCAATCTCGGATAAAGATCTAGTAACCGTAAGTACACGCCCAATTTTTTTATGTATCGCTCTCAATCTGTTCCGCAAGCTCCAATCTATATATGTATGTGCGCAGGAACACACTTGTAGACACATAGCTGACGCTGTCTTGCACATTGCGGTACCAGTAGAACCACAGTTTGCCCTATTCTGCGGGATCATAGTACGAGATCCCGACGTGCACGGCCTGTTTGTCTCATGGACCAATGATAATCTCCTCGGATAATGATTGGTTGATATCGAACAAGTAGGCGCTGTCACATATGATGGTACTGCAGAGCAGTCTGGAGTAAGTCTGGAGTCCTCGGGACGGCTATAGACGAAGTCGATGTGCATGATACAACTATCACAATCACTTCAACGCTGAGCGATTGTACGATCAGACTCGAAATGATTTGGTCTGGACTTACTAGAAGGGAACCTGTGCATCTCCCAAAAAGGATCACCGCCCCGAGAAGTCCACGTCCGATGGTCGGCTGATCGCATTCCATTTTTGCTTCTGACTGGGTTCTCGGGTTTGACGGCCTGTAAGAGTGTGTCCGCTGGGCAAGGAAACAGTTCGGCTTGGACCTGGTACTTATGTTAGGGATGCCGCATAGGGACAGGACTTACCCGGCAAAAGAATCTGATCAAGTGAGAAATACGAGACCAAAACGAGGTTAGCGTTCGGCGTTCGTGCGAAGAAGCGATCTGTCGGCCACTTCTTAGAAGTCCGAACGACCCTCTTCCTCGCTACCCTGTGCTGCCTCCAAAACCCCCACTCACCACTACTCCCTCATCACAGGGCACTTTACGGGTTCGATGGCAGCCACTGGCACCACCAATGAGGGGACTTCTGCATCTAACCTTCTCGCTACCCCCGTGCCTACCCCTACTGGTTCGACGCGAGGAGCTCGTTTTTGGCTCATTTTTTTGGCCCTTGGATTCTCGCTCTTTCTCTCCCCGCTGGAATTGGTAGGTCCTGCAGTGTTCATTTCCATCAGTTCTGACAGTTATTGCACTCTCCAGACATCCACATCAACGGCCTTGCCTTCTATCATTCAGGACCTCAATGGCAACGACTTCATCTGGATCGCCTCTTCGTACACACTCACATCAACAGCAATCTTGCCGATGAGTGGTGGACTGGCGGAGGTGCGAGCTTACGTATGGATCTTCATCCGGATGTATTGACTGTACTTCACTCCTTTCTGTCCTATTCAACAGGTCTTCGGACGTCGCCCAGCAATGATTTTTGCGCTAAGTCTGTTCTCAATCGGGAGCGCCCTCTGCGGTTCTGCACAGAATATGCCATGGCTCATAGCGGCGAGAGGTAAATCGATCTCAATATAAACTATGATTTATTCATCTCTCACATGATACATCTCGAAGGCGTACAAGGAATGGGAGGCGGATGTATTCTCTCCATCACGAACATCATCATATCCGATTTGGTGCCTTTGAAAGAAAGGGGTTTTATCAGCGGCGTTCTTGGACTGTATGCTCACACTCCGTGTCAGTATCGTTTCTTTCAGATGACGAGCCTTGCGTTTGGACAGAATTTGGGCCATGGCAGCAGCTTTAGGTCCCATCATCGGCGGAGCTCTTGCTGATGCAGGACAATGGCGCTGGATATTTTGTGAGCGTCACTTCCGGAACGTGCCAGTAATTTGCCATATTAAATTATATCGAAACAGATCTCAACCTCCCCATCTGCGGTGTGGCGCTTGTACTCGTTCTTCTTCTACTCAATGTACCGACTCCGCCCGGCACTCTGAGCAGCAAGTTAGCTCGTCTGGACTGGGTGTAATTATGCGTAGTTTTCGTCCTATTGCATCACACTCACGACCCGCCTATTCTTGCACAGCGGTAACACCATCATCGTTGGCAGCACAACTGCATGCGTCATTGCATTAACATGGGCCGGCGTTGTGTATCCTTGGTCATCCACCCGTGTGTTAGCGCCACTTATTATTGGTCTATGTGGCCTGTGCTTTGCCGTATCCTACGACGCACGCTATGCCTCAAATCCTCTCGTAAGTCTTTGCCATACATAGGGCTGAAGCACTGACCGAATTACTAACCCAGATTCCAATCTCTGTACTCTCGAACCGTACCACTTTAAGCGGGTGAGTCCCTAAATTTCTCTTGCTTGCCTCGATTCTAATAATTTTGTGCTTAGATATGCCCAGACGTTTTTCAATCCGGTCATCACTCTCACCGCTATATGTAAGTGAAGTCAACTCAATCATTCCGTCAGACTTTGTAGTGGAGCGCTAATACGACATGCAAGATTATCTACCGACATACTACCAAGCATGCAAGGGTGCATCTGCTATCCGCTCTGGCGTTGAACTCTTTGGCCTCGTGATGACGCTCGGTCCCGTCGTCATCCTCACTGGCATCAGCGTAACCAAGACGAACTCCTATCGCTGGCAATGTTGGGTCGGGTGGTCTCTTCTGCTGATCTCTATGGGTCTGCTCAGTACCCTACATGCCGATAGCACTACAGGAAAGGCAATCGGATATCCTTCCCTTGTCGGCATCGGTGGTGGTGTGGTGTACGCTGTCACATATTTCCCGGTCCTGGCGCCCCTGCCTGTTGGAGAAAGCGCCAAAGCGCTCGCCTTCTTTGCGTTCAGTCGCTCCTTTGCTGGAGTGCGTTCTTTGAGTTTTCGTCTAAACACATTGGAGGTGCTAATGCGAGAGCATGATATAGGTATGGGGTGTGACTGTTGGCGGGACGATCCTTCAAAATGAATTGAGCAAACATCTACCTGCCAATTATATCGACACTCTCCCGGACGGCGTTGCACTTATCTACGGATCCATCTCCAGCATTTCAAACCTTCCGGAACCAACAAGGACACAAGTTCGTCAAGCGTTTGGGAATGGGATAGCGACCATTTGGAAGGTAATGATAGGTGTTGCCGGCGCAGGGTTTATCTCGTGTATCTTCATGCAGGACGTGCCGATGCATAAGAAGACGGATGAAAAGTGGGGATTGGAAAAGAAGGAAGAAAGCAGGGAGCTTGATACTGCGGATAAAGAGGCTGGTGAGGCTATGGTGTCTGACCGAGCTGGGCTGGGCGATGATTGAGTAAAGTTGATGGATGCTCGATGTTCGACTCTGATGTTTATTTCCCACGTTTCTCTTTTTTGCCTGCGTCTCGGTATAAATTTTCCGTTATGATATCGAATATGAGATAGACGGCCTCGCGAGGTGTGTGCTATATATACATTCAAGTAAGTTTTGTCACGAATCAAGCCCGAGTACCTGTGGAGCTCGACCAATTGTTGTTTTTTCTTACCGGAAAGATAGATCCCAGAAGAGTAAAGAACTATTGCCACAACCTGTACTTATGTACGCTCAGTAGTGGCGAATAAGTTGTGATAGCATGGTGCAGAATTGATGTATTGACGGAGGACTTTATTGTCTCTGAAGTATTTTTATCCATTTTCCGTGACTCAGTGCGAGACCGACGCACATTCGGAGGAAACGGCGAATGCAGACCCATAATTCGTACATAGAAACGAAGATGTAACATAATCAAACATATTGTGTGACCAAATTCTTGCCAAATTTCAATCCAATCCCAAGAACCACTTGAAGATAACGACATCCGAAGGATACTAATTACATGGTTACAGAATGGACCCATCGACAATAACGGGCCCAATGTCAAGTTGCGTTCCGTTCAAAACATCATTTCTCTTTGGCATCATTGATACCGTCCTCTTTGACATTATCTCTAGGCCTCTATCTCCAAAATAACGCTTGCTCTCGAAGCTCCACTGGTCGTTAGCACGAACCCAGTTGCCGAGGCCCTCGACGTACCGAGAAATATCCTTGTTCATGCTCTTGTTCCACTCCTGCGATTTCGTAAATATGTCCATGAACTTTACCTCCAGCTCCTTGTGGTACATTTCCACCCATGCCATTGCGCCGTTGATATCAGTGTCCAACTGATTCATCACAATCCTCACAATATTGTGTGTGTCGTCCCCGCGAGATTGCTCAAGATTCCATGACACAATATCCTTTTTGCAGAATATTTAACTGGCAGAATGACGGACGGTAAAGGCGCAATATCACTTACATTTCCGAGGCATATCATGCTTATTGAAAGCACGTGAAGTTCGTGCATCACTGGGTGGTCCATGAAGTCTTCTGGAAGATCCATATCGAGCTCGAGCAACGCGAAAGACGGCCAAGCTCCAATCGTTTTTCTGCGAACCTCCATGTAGCTATCGATGTCGCGTATCGTAGAATGAGTGCGGTCCTTGGCTTGCTGCACGACGGCATTCATATAGTCATCGAATGCAGCAACAAAGCGTCTTTGGGACTTTGGAGTCGCGGTCTTTATGGCAAGCTCCCAATACCTGTTCTTCTCAGTGAGCCACGACCCATTGGGAATATATCATGTGGCACTGTTGCAGGCTACACTCACTGTCGAGCTACTTCGCCACCCACCCATTCACCATGAGGGCGAGGCTTTTCTGGGTTCATGAGTGCATTCATGATTATTTGTGCTTGAGTTTCGGCATCGGCAACGGAGGATAGGTCGGAGTGCTCGTCTATGACGAAGAAGAGGTTCATGAGGTCGCACCCCGTTCTCAAGCGCTCTTAAATCCCAAATTAATACTTCAACACGAAGAGTAAGCCTAACAAATGAAAAAGAAAATACACCTACGTTTGTCCGCGAGTGGGTACGCCAGCGAAGCCAAAAGGTCTATATTACCGACGCAGTATGACTGGTGAGACATGCTTGATTACTAGATTGCCGGCCCAAAAGGAACTTACTGAAGTCACAGCGATCAAAGGCATCTTGGGCTTGAGGACTAAAAGCATGGAAGCTTCGTGCCCATGAAGCAGACTCCATCTTCACTTCTTCGTAGTGTTGATTTATCTTGCGCTTCCACGGCCAGTTCGCAAGAGTATCGGGTATTGTATATGTCTGCGACATTGACCTGTAAGTGCGATGAAGAAGAAAGGTTGTAGGTATGGATATATTCTGATCTTACAACATCTGGTATTTAAATATGATAGCGCTTAAAAACATCGTAAGCTTGTGACCTATTATCCCCTAGTGGCCTTATGAATAGTTCGTGAGAACCGTTCTTCATGTAAGGACTATCTGAAGCGACGCATGTACCCCTGAACCCAAACTATATGCACGGATATAATGTTTACTTGACCGTTAAAGCCTTTGCGGCAGAGCTGCCGCAGTTAATCTGTGCTCGAGACCATTATAAACACACGTTCCTAATTTATCCCCAGACGGGCATCGAATATCATATCTAATAAAGTATGACTTTCAGCTAGAGCGAACACCAACTCACTATGGGGGTCTTCTTCCACTAATGTCTCCGATTCACTACAAACTCGTGATATATATGTACATGGGATATTCCCCATAAACAGTGGTATGACTTTCGGGTAGGTGGTATATGGACTGCTTGAATCATTGGTGACAAATTGGTGTAACAAATCAGACATCCGATAAGACAGGATCACGTTTCGTCGGGGAAACTAGCGGGATATGTTTTTCGACTCAGTACATCAGTATCAGGTACACGACGTTCATCACTTTCTGATACAAGCCGAGTATGCCATACGTGGAGACAGAATCCCCACAAATTTCCATCACGTTGATAGTGATAGTTCCGCCTAGGAACCTGCCATTTTAGCACAGTTATACCCTGGTAGATCGCTTGGGCGAATGGCATGAATCAGAACTTCCTTGGGATCTATATAGAACGCTTACACGGCGTAGCCGATGTGGAGAGTGACTATGGGTGATAGCATCAAATAAGTTTAGACGGTACCTTGAACTAACCTGATATCAGGATACAGGAAACGCTCGAACAGTACCAATTACCGTGACACTCTAGTATCTCGTACTCAGCCGCTATCTTGTGTCAGCCTTTGGCTAAGCAAGGTACATTATCGAAGCTATGGCGAGAGATGACTGATATATATGCTGTCCACAGTATATTTGATTACTCAGTACTGGGAACTGTACATGCCATGCGTCCACCCGACATCCCTTCCCTATATTATTCGACTAACTGCCGTTTGAATTCCTTCAAACTTGGTGCACCATTATTTTCAGGGTTCACCGGATCCCGGTGAACACGCTTGCATATTTCCCGCAGCAGAAAGGAAATGAACAGCCCGTGGCAGGTCACTGTGGATCAATGAGATTTTGATTTCAATGCTAGCCGTAATGCAAATATGATTTATAGATGAACAATGTTGAAAAATGAGATAGACCAGAAGAGGAAAATGGAATATCGGAATTAGAGACATTGCGATGACCGACGCAAAAACACCCCTCGAGTCGGTAGTTGGCAACGGGAAACATACGCTCCGACAACCGGTCTCCACTGGCACAAGGGCCTTAAAGCTGATACGATGCGAAATCTCAAGTGAACGGACATGCTCATGTCATATAAACGCGTGATGCGAAAAGCGCCAAGTCAGCGAGATGTAATTTGGGAAGAAAGGATGAATGGATGGGTAGAAGGACGGTCTGTCCTATCAAAACTACAGTGAGGAATGCGATCTCTGATAGATATTGAGGGGAAGTTTCAGGAAGTTTCAGGAATCTGGGAGTGCTGGTGTTCGTGAAGAGAGGAGAACTTCAGGAAAAATGGCGCAAAACGGGCTAAAGTCGCGCGACGACGCCACTGGAAAGATAAAGATGATTAGATCTTGCCGCACTTCTGGCGCTCGCCACAGTCGCGCAAGCGCAATGGAAGCAAGCCCACAGACACATTGGAATTACGACCATTAAACCGAGAAAGGCCCTAGATTAAACCGTCGCGAAAACATAAGGAAGTCCTTCAACCATTATAACAATGCACATCATTTGCTTTCTAGCTTAAGGCTCAGACCTAACTTGAATCCAAGTGGCTGCTCTCGAAACCTAACCCTATCAAAATCGCACAAGCCACTGGGCGAAACACTCAATCCAGCCAGCCCATAATACTTTACTCCGCCCACTTTGTACCCGTTGCTCCCGCCATTGCCATCGACGTCGGCGATGAACTCGTTGGTGAAGTTGAAGTTGATGCTCGCGTTTTCTACGGCGCTGCAGGAGGACTAAGTGCTGTTATCCGAGTCGGCAGGAGTGACGGAAGGTGAGCCGAAGATGTAGGAACATTACTTTTCAAGCACTCACGGACTTCATTTGCATCAATGTAACATCGAGGACTATGCAGTCTGAGCCTGTGAAGGTATTCCAGCTAACGTTGAGGGGAGGATGGAACCGATGATCTTTGGAGGCAGTCGAAAGGGCACAGGGCCTGTCCAACTCTGATTAACGGGATTATACTTACTTCCTTCCGCGAAGACTTCGTCGATCTCGCCTTCTTCGATCTCACCTTCTTCTTCACCGTCACCCAATCTCTTTTCGTTCTACTTTGCATGAGCCCTCGGCCTCGTCTTCACCTGTTTGGACCTCGCCCTTCGGTTTTCCAAATGGCATAAAAGTTCGCCACTGGGCCCAAAAGCTATCGTCCTCATTGTTCCATACCGAACTATCGAGCTGCGGCACGTTTCGTCCCTCCTTGGTAGCAACGACGCACTCTGAAAGCGCCCTTCCTCTCTCCGTCGTTAACCACCGGTCCCATAGTATCGATTTCTGCGGATATACACGCTCGTTGGTCTTCAAACACCTCTGAAAGCATTGAGCCACGTAGTCGCCGTTGCCATCGTCCTCGGCGATGGAAGTACGGCTAACCTAATCATCGTCGAGTGGACGCTCATGTTCAGAAGTGGCGCAGGGAGTATAATTATGAGTATAAAATAGCTACGATGGATCTGACTTCTTCTGATTAAACGTGTTGTTTTTGTTGATGAAGTCATCAGCAAAGGTGAAAAACACTCCAAGGCCTCCAAGCGCTTGGAGCTCCTTGGAGCGTCTTGAGAGGGCTTGAATAGTCGTGGAAATGAGCGGCTGTCTGAAACGGCGGTCTCTGGAGGCCGTACATTTAATTCTACGTTGTCGGAACGTTACTGTGCGGTTAAGCGAGGTATGACGGCGAAAACATACGGATGAGCTGGAGGACAACATTCAACAAGTTAACGCAGAGAGAATGGAGGTCGTCATTATGCTCCGAGCCCAAAAGTGTCCGTCGGGTCATTACTCAGGTCTCAGGCGCGACGGGGGCATATGCGATTAGCCTCCGCTGAGCGCAGTCATGGAGTGCATATATGCTCTCTGTGTAAATCATCTCTAAACGGGGTATTTACCACCAGCTTGTTTCGCTCGACCTTCGAGCGTCAGAAGCACTTGGGTCACCGCCGAAGCGTGTTGAAAGTCAAGCACTTCCCGCCACCATGCCACATAGGTGAAAGCCGCCAGGCATCCTGTTCTCGAACCGGTGGGATCAAACCATGCCAAAGACCGGGGTCAAATTAAAGAAAAATGACATATTCACAAGCAATCACCCCAACGTCAAGCACCTCCTGCGAAACATTTCTCCCAGGCAAGCAAAAGAGCATAGGAGATATCGCGCGTACGTACCCAATTATAGTCCGCTCCAAGCCTCAGAGATAACGACGCACTCGTTGTGGAAGACAAGGACTATAGACCGACCAGTACCGTCTCATTTGGACGGAAAGAAAGGAAGCCGAACCCTGTCCTTGAGGGCTTCAGACCTTCTTCGACGCCGGCACATCCGCGTCCTTCGCCACAATCTCGTCTGCAGCTTCGCCGACGAAAGTGGGAGCCCCAGTGCGGACACCGAGAGATAATGAGTATTGAAAGGATGCGCTGTTTAACAAAAGACTGATGAAACGCACCTCGGGACCCCGTCCTTCGTCAGCTCCTGGAATCGATACACGATGATCGTCCCGACCTTCGGCGGTCTCGCTCGTTGCCTGTCTGATAGACCGCTTCCCACGGCGAAGGCCTACAACAGAACGGTTTCAGGTGTTCGCTCGATCAAGGAGTCGATATGATATCTGCAGAAGAAAAACGTACCTTTCCCGACGCCATCTTACACTTCAACGCGTCCGTCGAACCCGTATGTTTACCCTTGCCTGGAACATAACCAGTAACCTCGGCTTCAGCATCAAAGAACGGCTAATGACAATACCAAAGACAAAAAGACTTAAGCACGATCCAGTGAACAAGAGACTGGTGTGGGCGCCGACCTTGATCTTCAACAGCGTACTGCTCCTCCGGCCCTCGTACTTACTCCCAGGCTTCCTCAACATCAAGCCCTCTTCACCGTGCGCTTCGACTTCCTTGAACATATCGAAGACGTGATAGGACTCGGCACTGGTTTGATCGACCACGACGAATTCTTTCGAGTGGTATTTGCCACCTACATCGATAGTGGGAGGTTAGACATATTTATGACGGGAGGACAGCGGGGAAACGATATGGGTAGGTCGCAGGGTTATAGAACGCACCTTGACCAAAGTTCTCTTGGAGCGACTGCAGTCGACCCTCGAACGGCTCATTGCCCATCGACGGGACATCTAAGATCTGCACATGAATCCAGAGTCAACCATCTATTACGCGTCAAACAATAGGCCACCAAGAGCAAATAGCGGGCAGAGAAGATGTTGCTAGCGGTACGAGTGGAGGCAAGGGACTCCGAAAACAGAGAGGGTTCAGGGCAGCAACGAACCTGGAACGTGATATTCTTCCATCCCTTCAACCCCATCGTCTTCACGATCCCAGCTGTAGTCTGAAACTCGCCCCTCCCACCAAACAACTCGCCATCCAACGTAACGTCCTTCGGGAGTTCTGTGATCATCGACGCCACACGAACGCGCCACACAAATGAAACCAGATCGTCAGCATCAATCGGCAATCAGAGATTTGAAACCACAGCAGGGAAGATAATAGACGTACTATCCATCTATGCATTCCTCCATAAACGGATTGTCCAACTGACTGAACATAGCCCCCTCCTTCCCCTCCCCACCCTTCGGAGCCCACAACGTCCTCACCCCATCCAACTTCTCGCTCACCCACCAGCCCGTCGGGTCCGTAGTCTCCTCTTCTCACTTCACCGCCAATACCACCTCAGGAACCAGTTCCTTTGCGGAAGATGTGGAAGTATTTCGGCTCTTGAATGCGGATTAGGTGGTTGTGGTGGGAACGGCTGGGTCGTTAGGGTTCTTGAGTTTGAGGCGAGATTCTTCGTAGGCGTCGCCGAGGAGGGAGCAGAGGTGTTTGCAGGTGCAAGCGGAGACGGGGTGGGCGGACTGGTTGCGCCAGGCGGGGCAGGTGCTGGATGAAAAAGCGTGGGAGAAAGAGTGTGGCGTCAGATGATATGGCGTAGAGATAGTCTGGCGCCAGAGAAAAGCAGGTGAAGATGTGAAGGAAAGACAGAAAGGAGGATGTGCGTACCAGCAGTAGTAATTCATGGGCGGCTTCACTTCACACTTGGAAGAGCTGCACAGCACAGAAATGGTCAGTGCCAGCCGTGCATGAGGGATTCAAATGTAAGAAAATATAGAAATGGAGATTTGCGAACTTCGTCATCGAGCTGGCCTCCGTCAACCCCCGTCCTCTTCATCTTCACCGGCCGCAACACCGTCCCCACCAACCTACTCGCCTACATCGTCTTCGTGACTGTCGACCACGGACACGGCACCAAGATTGACATTGAGCGCGGCACCTTTGTGTTCCCTAGCATTCTCATCGACACGTCGTTCACCTCGACCCAACCGTCGCCCTTTTGGGTGCGGGACGACCCTTCCGGGAAGGAGGCTCCTCGTTCTCCACCTCCTCCTCGTCTTCGTCTCAGTTCCTCATTCTTCTTTCTGGTGCTCTAGAGATGCCTCTCCCTCTACCTTGAGCAACAGTCGCAAAGCCCTCACCAGACCTCGTCCTTCTCGTCGGCTATGGACGTCGTTCGTTGGAATCGGAATTCTTCAGATTCAGACGTACATCTTTTCGTATTGATTGCTGAGAACAGATTCATAGCGTTTGCATGTACCAGCATTCACGGAACTACTAAAGAAAAAAGTGTATCAATAACAATGGTCAAGGGTGCCCTTGACTTTATGAGTCGAGTTGCCGTAAGTCCAGGGAGAGTGAGGGCTGCGGTATCAAAACATATCAATACCCACACAGACTGTAATCTTGCCTCAACCTCTTATCTTCCCTCTAGTATCCCATTTGGTCCATACCACTGATGAATGTTAACTCTAGTCTCGTACCAAACGGTTACATCCACCCTAAAAGGGAACCCGTCTGTAACCGTCTGGGTCACTTCCAGCGGGTTTAGAAGACCCTTGCGTTCGGCGGTTTCGGGCCTTGGTGGGCTCGCGGGAATCAGCTCCGAGCACGCGATATGATCGGAAATGGAAGGTGTTAGGCGGCCAGACCCCAGGTGGTATTTATATACACCCGGCTACCTTTCGTATCCTAGCCTTTATGGCGGAGCGGCTATAGCTCTCACCATTTATGTTTTTGGACCGAGGTCTCCCAGTTCGACATTCCAATGTATCATTTTACAATTCATGATTTTGTGCAATAAACACCCAACATCCGCGCCAAAATATATCAATTGAGTGCTTTGGACCTGAAAGTAATGTCTGCAAGACCGAGTGAACGGGATGAAAAAACAAACGCGGCAGGCCAACAAAAGGTACATCGGCGACAAGTCGACAGCTATAGCCACTCCGCCATAAAGGCTAGGATACGAAAGGTAG